AAAAAAAAACAAAAAACAAAACACATACACCGATTAGAATGGGAAATTGCATACGGAAAGAGTCGTCCGAGCACTGGGGCGGCGATGACTGGGGATCCTTCGGCTCCGGCGAGACCTCGAATACTATAATCGGGGCTTCGCCGGCGAGAACGGAGGTGAAGATCAGGATCTCCAAGAAGCAGCTGAAACACCTTCTGGGGAAAGGGGATTCGGAGGAGGATATTATGGCCCGATTGATTCAAATTGGAGGGGATTGGCCGGCGGCGGATCGCCGGACGTGGACGCCGGCGCTGGGTAGCATACCTGAATCGCCTTAATTCTCTCTCTATTCAACGCCTTTTGTTGTGTAAATAGCAAGTTTTGATGCTCGCTAGCTACCTCTCTTTTGTAAAGCTTTGCTTTTATTTATTATATTTTTTAAATTATCTTTTTTTTTTTTCAAATGATAATAAATATTATTAGTAAAAAAGTAAATAAAAAATTACAACTACTAGCCTAGCCTCCCCTTGGAATTACATGGATGACCAAGGGACAAACATAAACACACAAACAAGGACAACAAAAACACAAAAACAAAGCTAGCCTATTAATTATGGGATGATAAGACATTTAATGTAGAGTGTGAGATGAAAATATGACACCCCAAATATTAACCAAAAGTTTATCTACCTAATATTTTATCAATTGAGAATTAAATGTTGAGTAATGATATTTAGCTCATTTGGATAACAGGTTACAACCTAAGTGTAAATGTTTATTAAAAAATTTAAAAATAATGTATTTGCATTTGAGTTACAACCCAAGTTTGTAAGAATATGTGGCCCGAAAGTATTGAGCTCACATTTAATTATCCTATTGGGCCAGACCTTATTTAATAGTCAAACAAATCTAAGCCATTAATTTGGATATTTGATTGACGTACCAGATCTAAAGACACCCATATATAAATTAGTCATCTCTCCTCCTATTAGGGTACGCAGTCATAATCCCATCACTTTTCTGCTACATAAGAGAAGGTAAGGAGGGAGAAACTAATTTCAGATCTAACAATCGCTCAAGCCTGTGTGATCATCAAGATCAAGATCACTAATTATGTCGTCTTCCGCATCAAGTAAGTATTTCGTATACACCAAATTATTTATTCAAGATCCTTGATGAAGTTTACATGTGGTATCAGAGCATGTGTTGTGAATAATTAATTTGTTTGTATGAATGTTGAGAGATTATTTGTCCCTGATGTTTGTTGGACAAATTCAATCGATGATTGTGACGGTGTTTGTGCTGTTTGAAATCAAAATTAAGAAAGCATGTTTCCTTATGGCCCACGCATGAAGTTCTGTCGCCATTAATTTTGATTTCTCCCACATCAACCATGTATGAGTGGAATGCTTGGATAATTATTTGCTGGGTGACCAAAATATATTGCCCCATCATTGTTCTCTTAAGGGAATTATTTTCTGGAGCTTTGTTTTAATTATTATGATGGTGACTTGGTGAATTTATGTAAATTTTCCTGATTGGGATTTTGTTAACCCGATAAATATGTATGTTTTATCCCAATATTATGCAATTATCATGTTTTATTTTGGATGATGATGATTGGGTTAATAAATTCTCATTATGTTTATGAATAATAAGGGTTAGTTTGTTAACATTATGGTGTTTGTTGTTATATGACATTAAGTGAAAATTAATTAGTTAGTCACCAAAGTGGCCTAATTAATTTTTAATATTCGGTCATATACTTTTACCGTTATGAATGTTTATTATATGACATTAAGACAAAATTAATTTGTTAGTCACCAAAGTGGCCTAATTAATTTTAATGCCCGGTCATATAATATTATTGTTACAACTGTTTATATGACATTAAGTGAAATTGATTTGTTAGTCACCAAAGTGGCCGAATTAATTTTCTAATGTTTGGTCATATAACTTATGTTCTCTTGAGAATGTCATTATTATGGGTTAATGAGTTTATTGGTTGTTAGAAATTATGGATTTACCCAAAGGTGAATCATTGTTCTATAACTAATAAACATTAAGGAGGAATATAATGTTCTTTGTCGAGCGTATGTGGATATCCAAAGATACTATGTATGTTAGACGAAGTTTATTTAATTTCTCATTAAGTGTTAAATGACATTCGACTTATGATAATGATATATATTGTTGTGTTTACCCAAAGGAGACCTGCAATATATTTGATGAATGTATTATATGAATCTATTAATTAAGTGAGCGTTTATGATTGTGCAACTATCTCTCTTCATTCGCAAGCTTCTTCTGTTACTGTCTTCAATGGTTTGAATTTCTCTGAATGGCGTGAGCAAGTCAATTTCCATTTAGGTGTTTTGGATATTGACTTGGCTCTGCTTGAAGAAAGGTCTGCTGACATTAATGATCAAAGCAGTGAGGCTGAGAAATCAAACCGTAAGGCTTGGGACAGGTCTAGCAGATTATATTTGAGCTTTATGCGATTGACGATTGCCAACAACATTAAGTCAACTCTTCCCGATAATGTTGATGCGAAAGCATATCTTTTGTTTGTGGAAGAGCGTTTTCGTTCCGCGGATAAGTCATTGGCAGGAACCCTTATGGCTGAACTCACGACAAAAAAGTATGATGGGTCGCGTAGTATGCAGCAACATGTTCTTGACATGACTAATCTTGCAGCAAGGCTTAAGTTCCTGGGTATGACTGTGGATGACTCATTTCTGGTGCAATTTATGCTTAACTCGTTGCCTCCTGAATATGGGCCTTTTCAAATTAACTATAACACTATTAAGGATAAGTGGGATGTTAATGAATTGGCTAGTAAGCTTGTTCAGGAGGAGACGAGGCTTAAGGCACAAGGAGTTCATACGGTCAACCTTGTGGGTCGAGGAGCTAATGATGTTCTCAAACCGAAATCCAACAAGTTTAAAAAGAAAGGACCTGCTAAAGTTTCACAGGTCAGTAATGATGAAAAGAAGGAAAATCGGGCAAATAAATGTTATTTCTGTAGGAAAGAAGGTCACGTACAGAAAGATTGCCTGAAACGCAAGTCTTGGTTTGAAAAGAAAGGTATTTCTAATATATTTGTATGTTTCGAATCTAACTTGTCTGAAGTTCCTTCAAATACTTGGTGGTTGGATTCTGGTGCTACAACTCATGTTTCCAATGTGATGCAGGGATTTCTTACAATCAAGAGCATAAACCCAAATGAGAACTTCTTGTTCATGGGGAACCGTATGAAGGCCCCAATTGAAGGCATAGGGACTTATCGTATTGTTTTAGATTCCGGGCACCACCTGGATCTTTTACAAACTCTCTATGTACCTTCATTTTCTAGAAACTTAATGTCTATTTCTAGACTTGATGTTCTTGGGTTTTCCTTTAAGTTTGGATATGGATGTTTCAGTTTGTTTGATAAACATGACCCGTTATTGGTTCTGAAATTCTTATGGATGGTTTATATAAACTGAAACTTGATGTTGATTTTTCTGCATCTTTAATGTGTGTTCATCAAAACATTGGGATTAAACGTGGTGTAGCAAATGAGAACTCTGCTTTCTTGTGGCATAAACGTTTGGGTCATGTATCCAAAGAAAGAATGCAAAGGTTGGTGAAAGATAAGATTCTTTTGGATCTAGATTTTACTGATCTTGGGTTGTGTGTGGATTGCATTAAGGGAAAACAAACCAGACATAACAAGAAAGGAGCCACAAGAAGTAGTCAGCTTCTTGAAATTATACACACCGATATATGTGGACCTTTTGATGCTCCATCTTTTAATGGAGAAAAGTATTTCATTACCTTTATAGACAATTTTTCACGTTATGGTTATGTCTATCTGCTGAAGGAAAAATCTCAAGCTGCAAATGCACTTGAGGTTTTCATTAATGAAGTTGAAAGACAGTTAGACTGTAACGCCCAAAATTTTTATGTACTATTTATGGAGCTCGACTATATTTCCATAAATATTAAGTTTCCTAATTTGATGCATATATTATTATTATTTGCATTAAATTAAATAATTAGTATTAAAGTCTAAGCCATGGAGAATTAATTCGATTTTAATTATTAAAGTCGGATTCATATAGCCCAAGCATCGATTCTATTTTAAATCGAGCCTTGGAATTATCGGAGATTGTACTAAGCGAATCGAAGCCGAATAATTTAATTATTCGAGCCCAATCACTTTCAAGCGAGTCCAATTATTTTAGCTGGTCCATTTAAGTTAATCGGACCTATGTTCGATTTTATTTCAGCCCATTTCAGTATATCGAGCTCATGTTCGATTTTATTTAGCCCATTTTAAAATCGAGCTTATAATCAATTTTAAATCTGAGACAAATTATAATATTTAAATTGACCGACTAGTATAATTAGTCTAAGTCCGATTAATTTTATTAACCAAACATTTAATTTCTTAGTTAATATTCAATGTATTCGAAGCCAAGTCTAATGTTTGGTTGATATTTAGCCCGATTTTTAGTCGAGTTAGAGCCCGAGTGTTAGTAATTTAAAGCCCGATTATTCAAGTCCAAGTCAATTTAATTAAAAGCCCAATGTTGGGCCCAATTACTACACAAAACCCTAAATTTCCTACCACTATAAATATCCCCCAATATCACTTCATCTTCTTCCCAACACTTTACTCAAACCCTAGCCACCATTCAAGACTCATCACCACCACCTTCAAGCACAATTCCCGACCAGATTCCCGGCCGTTTTCCGACAAGCAGTACCCGCCGGTGACCTCTGAACCCGAGTTGTGCCACATTGACCCACGTTGGTCCAAATTGAGCCCAATCCCGGACACCCAAGCTCAGCCCAGTCACGCCCGCAGCTCTCCCACGTCGACCTGACCTCCGGCGAGCTCATCCTGCGTTTGTACCAGCGCCGTCCCTGCCACTGCACTCGACTTTCGTCCCCCCTGTTCACGCGGCGTTTGCACAGTCGCATTTCTGGCGACCTCAGCTCACGCGCCTCCTAGCAGCAGCTCGAGCTTGCCACCGCGTCACAACTGGTTTAGCTCCGCCCAACTCCGGTTTGCGACCACCACGTCGACCTGACCTCCAGCGAGCCCTCACGACGGCGACCCGAGCTCGCACCTCCCGTCACGCTGTCGCGCCTAGCTCCTACCGCAGCTCCGGTCAACGCCGTTCGCGACGGCCCTATTCCGGCGAGTTCATGTAGAGCTCCGCCGTAGACGTCCATTACAGCTCTGACCGACAGCTCTTTTCCACGACCAGCAGCTCCAAGCCGAGACCCACATCCCCAAAAATCGGTCCGGTCCAAGAGTCGGTTCATTTACTTAGCTTCCCGACTT